CTTCTTCTTAACAAGAACGACCGGTGACGCCCAGGGACTGTTAGAAGGCTGTACAATACCCCGCTGGAGCATGTCAGCAACCTGGTCGTCAATAACACGGCGCTCCGACGCTGAGACTCGGTAGGGGCGCTGCCGTAGAGGCGTATGGCTTCCTGTGTCAATCTTGTGAGATATGTTCGATGTGCGACTGAGGCCAGAAGCGTGGCTGTCAAAAGAAGTACGAAACTTTTGCAGCAGGTTCACTAACTGGCTTCGTTCTGAAGAAGACGTTGCGACATCGATGGAGCGGTGGAAAGCGTCAAGGAGTGACTGGTCAACAACAGTGTCAGAAATGAGTGCGCTGAGGTCCGTAGAAAGTAAACTAGATGGAGCGTCAAAAATGCAACGTGCGTCGATCGGATGCACGTGACCGAGACATTCACCATCGAATAAAGGTAAAGGCCCTTCTAGCGTATTGTACACGAGCGTCTTCGTGACGCCATGGTGGAGAGTAAGGAGAGCAATGGGCTGTGGAGAACATTTGCGTTGAATGAACAGGGCAGAGGGCGTAAATAAAACATCGCCGTCTGAAATAGCGTCACACGACACAGTCACCAGCAGAGAAGAGCGCGGTGGTACGGTGGTGTTGTCGGAAACAAACAGTTTATAACACGGCAGAGAGGCTTCGACAGCGTCTACATCAGGAAGTGCAGATAGCTCAAGTTCAGCGTGACAGCAGTCAATGACGGCATTATTATTCGCAAGGAAGTCCCAGCCGAGTATCATGTCATGGTAACACGAGGGCAGCACTACGAATTCGACGATATACACAATCCCTTGGATGACGACTCGTGTGGTACAGGCTGCGAGAGGTGCTACACTTTGTGCGTTAGCCGTTCTAAGAGAGAGGCCGGATAATGGCGTCAGAACTTTGCGGAGTTTGCGGCACAGGTTGATGGAAACGACGGATAGAGCGGCACCGGTGTCGGCAAGCGCCATGACGACGATATCATCGACTGACACTTCAATGACGTTAGCTGGACAGGAGCGAGGACTTGTGCATGGCGACGGGGACGCAGTTCGTGCCTCGGGAACTGCGGCCATTAGTTTTCCTGGTCGGTGGGTCCGGAACGGCGACGCATAAGGGAAAGTGAACGTCGACGTGGAGATGGGGAGCGGCGGGTCGGGCCGTGTGGGCGATCAGAAGGAAATGAAAAGGAAGAAGGGCTTGAAGGCGTAGAAGAAAACTGAGGGTCGAAAGAGGGCATCCGTCGAATGTTCTGAGCAGCTTGGCGATGACGACAATAACGTGCCACGTGGCCAACACCACCACAAGCAAAACATATGGGACGGTTGTCGTGGGTCCGCCATTGGTGGGAGTAGACTCCGACTTGCGGCTGGGGGGCAGAAAACTGCGGCCGAGGTGGTATCGGCATAGGCGGCGGTGAATAGATCGGCGGCGAAAAGGGCGGCGATGAATACGTAGGCGCTGGCTGGAACGCAGGCTGTTGAGGTCGAGCAACGGCCTCGGCGTACGTGAGAGGTGCGGCGACTGGCGGCGGTTCACGAGCGGGAGGAAGAACTTGTGCGACCTGGTCTTGAATGAAGTCGCGGAGTGTAGACGTTGATCTGCGTGGTTGATCGGGTACGCAGGACATCAAAGAGAGCTGACGAGCGACCTCAGCGCGGATGAACTCTTGGATCTTGGAGAGAAGAGGGGCATGGTCTTCTCCTATGCCAAGGGTGGACAGGCCGGACAAAGAGTTGTCGAGCACCGAGGGACGTCGGGTGGAAAGACGTTGCCTGCGCAACTCGTCAAAACTCTGGCATAACTCGGTCAGTTCTAGGACAGTGCGAGGACTCTTATAAAGCAACATTTGTAAAGCGTCGTCCTCAATGCCCTTCATGATATGCTTGATCTTAAGCTCTTCGGACATGGACTCGTTGACTCGCTTGCAAAGGTCCAGAACGTCCTCAATATAGCTTGTGAAATTCTCACCAAGCTGCTGGGACCGAGTATGTAAGCGTTGTTCAGCACGGCGTTTGCGTACCTCAGGCCGCCCGAAAACTTGTGTGAGGCTGGTTTTGAAGACCGACCATGTAGGGAGTTCCGCTTCGTGGTTTATAAACCACAGCTTGGCCACGTCCGACAGGTAGAAGGAGACGTAGGCCAACTTGGCGGCGTCATCCCATTTGTTGTGAGTACTCACTCGCTCGTACATTGAAATCCAGTCGTCAACGTCCTTGTCTTATGTGCCTGAGAAAACAGGGGGATCTCGCAGACGCAGAGAACCGGCGCAGAGAACGGTAGGCGGTGCCGATGGAGGAGTTGGAGCGGCGCTTGCGTCGGTAGGCATAGTGGATGGTAAAATGCGATTCCGAAGCTCCTGGGGGATCGAAACCCAGCAGAATCCACCACTTGTAACGGGGTTTATTTGCAGCGCAGAACGCAGAAAGCGAAGCAATCAGCAGCGTCCGGCCAAGCGCAGCAAGCACGAGCTTATGCTGATGGCGATGCCCCTGATGCGCCGAAAAATGCCGCTGAAGCTCCTCTTCTTCACTACAATATATATATATATATATATATATATATATATATATATATATATATATATATATATATATATATATATATATAAGGACTATATGTAAGAAACAAAACTAGGCTGTGGAAGATGGAAGTGCGTGAAGCGAAATGTGATCTGTTCCACGTGTTCCTCCCTCCATTTTTCTCTACGTAGGCTCTGTTTTTATCAAAAAGAATAGGTAGGCCAGCTTTAGAAAGCCTGGAGAGAGGAAAGGAGATACAATGGTATGGATGTACAGATCAGTGAGTAGGGGTCACATCCGCAAATATTATTCAGTCATCGTTGCCTTTTTTTTTCTCATCTTATAGACGTTCACGAAAGAGTATAGAAAAGGTTGGTTCGTATTTATGCACTGAGATGTGAATGAGAGCGATAGAATTGAGGTTACAGTAAGCATGTGTAGGTGGGACATTTCCATGACAGCAATGATAAGAATATATGGGGTTTTATGTCTCGAAACTGCGGCACAATTATGAGGGATGTCATAGCGGAAGGCTATGAACAGTGCGATCTTCTGTGGTGTCATAACGTGCACAGTCATCATAGCACAGTAAAAGGGGCCCCTAGCATATTGCCTCTATCGAAATGCGACTACCACGGCTGGTAGGGAACCTAGCTGCGACCTTCGGGTTAGTAACTGCGCAGTGTAACGCACCGCGGCAGTGTGAACACATTTTAAAATAGAACCGCTTCATTATATTTCCCCAGAATGTAAAAACAAATCACAACCATAGCCTTACAAAGCGAAAGCCTCACATGGCTTATGACTGAGGTACGATATCCGAGGTGCGACGTCCTCCATCAGGGTGCGATCGGTCACCTGATGACGTCAACGCGAATGACACTCTTTAACACGTAACGGTGGCTCTGTGCGAGTTGTGGAAAACTTTTTCCCAGAAGCGTTGGCGTCGGCGTGTCTATATAAAAAGACTATGCGTGTGCAGATGGTTCTTGGCAGACGCCCTATGGTTTGACAGGATAACCGAAAGCGTTTATGGTTTTGAGCGCGAAAGGACACGAACAAAGAGAACACCAGTCGACACGTGATCGTACCCTTTTGCGCTGTCAACCACAAATCTAATACAACTAACCAAATCTTCTACATTTAATGAAAAGAGAGCCTGAGGAGAACGTTGCTGCCGGGCCTAGTGGCTGTGTCTATCGCACGACGACATCTTGGTAACAGGACAAGACCTGCAATTAGATCACAAGAAACTTAGTACACAGTGTCGTGGTCACGGTGTTTGGCTCATGGCCCGAACGTCGCAGGCTCAATGCTGGTCATAGTGGCCTCATTTCAATGGAGGCGACATGCTACAGGGTCGTGTACCTTGTGATGTCAGTGCGCGCTAAAGACCACCAGATGATCGAAATTTGCGGAGTCCTACACTACGCCGTCTATGATAATCATATCGTGGTTTCGGAACGATAAACCTAAGATATTATTGTTATAATTGAACATGGCGTGAACCGTAGAGTTTCATACAATAATACCTATAGGGGAATCTGGCACTGCGATCGTGTACCCCCATGAGAATTATGGCAAGTACAGGCTTTGGATTGGATTGTGTCAGCTGGTGAACAATCTACAGTTTATGTTTCGTTCTTCGTACGAGGGTAGTGGGGTGTGGTGAAAAGAGATGAAGCAGTACCTTTGTTGTTCGAATATGCTGAAGACCACTATATCTCCCAATTTGATGTGACGTTGGAGCTTTACGAGTCGCATTTGACAGTTTAAACGAACCATCGTCCACAACTTTGCACATAAATGTAGCGTCTCATGCCAGTGCAGAATATTACATTGATTTCATGCTGCTTCAACTGCGCGTCTTGCCTATACTCGTTCGAATCGACTACAAAACAATGGCAAAGCTAAGCAGACGCACCGTCACGCTTTTCCGACTCGACTTCGCGTTGGGGGAGCCCTCCACTACGGCGTCTCTTATAATCATATGGTGGATTTGGGACGTTAGACCATACACATCAATAAATCAAAACCCGTTCTTTACGCTAGTCGGTGACTTCAACATTGACATTATGAACCTTGAGACCTAGCTTCATTAGCATTCACTTCAGGAATCGGCTGCTAATTTTTTTACAGAAAAAGCTGTATAAAAACATTAGGCATCGGTGTCACGAGTAGTCTTCATTGGCTCTCCTATAAGTTACGTCAATCTCAGCGTCTTATACCTAGCAAGCCTGCCATTAGCTGCGTTGTGAGTGACGTCGTCTATTCTGTACCAACTGAGGCACCGAGCACACGCATTTCTACTGAAAACTTCCACATAAGTAAGCCACGGACAACACTAGAAGAACGCTGACAATAGAAACGTTAAAGAGTTTGCATTCGGTGACGTTCACCGGCCGCCGGATATAAAAGCACCACCGCCGCATCTGAACGTCAGTGGGCAAGGAAACAGCGAAGCTTCGACGATGCTCATTCGTCGTGTTTTATTTGCGCAGTTCTTCTACGCCAGCTTGGGTGCTTCAATTTGCCGCGCTGCTACTGTGCCTGACTTCCCAACCCCGGTGTCCGGAATACAGTTTCTACCGCTGGAACAGCACATGGACGCTACAGTTTGCGTGCTCACAGACTGCCCCATCGCCCCAGTAGACGATGGTCACGGCCTGTCGGTGAAGGCACCCACCCCTTGCACTGATAATGCCTCGCTTCACCGTCCATCGTTCGGCAGGTTCCATTCCGTGACGTCACCGGCCGCGGATATAAAAGCACCACCGCCGCATCTGCACGTCAGTGGGCAAGGAAACAGCGAAGCTTCGACGATGCTCATCTGTCGTGTTTTCTTTGCGCAGGTAAACTACCTCCAAAATGCTTACTGCTTTCGCTCTGATAATCGCTTCTTGCTGCTGTTTCCTTGCCCATTTGACTGTTCTGATGGTCTTGCTACGAAGTGCCTTTCATTGCGTTCGCATCTATTCCATTGCATTTGCACACTGCTTCAGAGCGGGGATGTAGAAACAAATCCAGGCCCTCAGAGACAGGCAAAGTCTAGTTCAGCCAACAAAGGCAGTAATATTGCTTCAAGCAGCAGTTCTGCCATTAACCTTTCGGCAATGGATAACAACGAAAGGCTTGAGGAGACAGACAGCATTGCTTCTGTTAAAAGCATGTTGAATGAGCTACTATCAGGACAGAAAAAACTGGCTGACGATATAGCTGAAATCAAGCAATTTCATCAATCCGTAAATTCTAGATTTGATGCCCTCGAATCTCGAGTGGCTTCTCTTGAATCAACCTCCGTATCAGCGGCTGTTTCTGAGGGGACCTGTTCCCTAAAACAAGAACTTAACTCAGTGAAATCCATCGTGGAACAACTTACCGCAAAAAAATGATGACCTAGAAAACCGATCCCGGAGAAACAACGTTATTTTTCATGGCATTTCGCAAGAACCCGAGGAAACAAATGCGTCACTGCTTTCAAAGGTGTCACAGTTGATTACAGATGAACTTGAAATGGAATGCCCGCGAATCGAAAGATGCCATCGCTTAGAGAACGGTAGCGAAGGCCGTCCTCCTCCTACTATCATTAAACTCCTCAATTTCAACGACAAAGTTGCGATTATGAAAAGTGCCAGGAACATCGAAGACCCAAATGTTCGCGTTACTGAGGATTTTACAGCTCGCGTACACATAATACGTAAAAAATTGTGGGAAGCAACAAAGTCTGTGAGAGATACTGGCACAAACGTTCGCATTATCTACGATCACGTCTTCATTGACAATGTTCGTCACGACTGGGACAATGCTTCTGTCTCATTCGGACCAACAGCCGCACAAAAGGTATTAAAACTGCACTCCCTCTTCCCGGTCCTCGATGACTACCACAACAGAAGAACGCTAACTTACACCTCTTAAACATCAATGCTAGAAGTATAGTAAACAAGTTTGCTGATTTCTTATCAATAATTTTAGCACATGGAGCGCACATTGTTGGTGTCACTGAGACCTAACTGCATGAGAGTATCCATGATAGTGAAATCACTCCCCCTGGATTTACCGTACTTCGGTCGGACAGGTACAGTGGGCGAGGAGGCGGGGTGGCACTTTTTTTTCGTTCAGACTTGAAGTTTCGTGCAATTCAAGGGCCTATCGGACTAGAGTCAGTGCGGTGCAAGTTTTACTTTGAGCACATCACTATCATAATAGGCGTTTTTTACCGACTTCCGGGATCGTCAGCGGATTCTTTGATCACCTTGACAAATTTTATTAGTGAGCATAACTACAGTAGAGGAAATATAATCCTTATGGGAGACTTTAACGCGCCTGGAATTCAATGGTCCACCCTGTCTTTAAGCAATTCGCCCTCTCTAACAGACACAGAGCTGCTGAAATTTTCTGTTTCTCGGCCTAACTCAAGTTGTTCGAGAATTTACAAGAGAGTCTGCAGTTTTCGATTTAGTCTTTGTTAGCCCTACTCTCTTAGAAAGCACGTTTAACTGCCTTGTCACTGAAGGAATTTCCGATCATAAAGCCGTTTTCGTCTCACTCTCATGTCGTGTACCCACACCGAATATTGTGTATTCAACTCATCATGACTTTAACCGTGCAGATGACATCAGTATCCTTACAGTTCTAGAGTATTCATTTGAAAATTTGGAACGGCTTAGTGAATCTAGCGACGTCAACGATTTGGTTTCTTTCTTTGAAAGTCTTGTGCATTCTTGTATCACCCACTTTATTCCAATAAAAACTAAAAAAAAATGTCCGGTTGCCATGGATGACGAGGGAGTTGTTACAACTGACACGTCGCGTAAAAAAGGTTACATTGTTCGATTAGACGTCAGACCTCCCCGTCACTAAATGAGTTCAATAAACTTAAAGAGAAATTAAGAGCCAAAACTAAAGCCGCCAAAGATTTCTATTACCAAGTGACAATGAAAAACCTGATGGTAACAAATCCAAGAAAATTTTGGAGCTCCATCTTGCCGAGTTCAACGGAACCAAACACAATGGACATTCATGGAGCTTCCACAAGTGATCCTGTCACAGTAGCCAATGCATTTAATTCTTATTTTAAATCTGTTTTCACCATTCATAATTTTCAAACACCTACCTTTTCACTGGCCAACCCTGCACCTTCAATTGGTGACGTATGTTTATCTGAAGAAGGCATTCTAAATTTGATACTTAACTTAGACACTAAAAAAGCCCTGGCCCGGATAATATTCCCAACAACTTTTTAGTACGATACGCTTCATGTACAAGCCGCTACCTTATGATAATATACAAAAAATCCCTAGCAACAGCAACAGTTCCATTATCATGGCAGCTTGCTAAAGTACTCCCCTTTTTTAAAGCTGGCTAATTACAGGCCTATTTCCTCGCCGGCTAATTACAGGCCTATTTCCTTGACATCTCACTCATACAAAATATTGGAGCACGTCATATACAAACACATGGTAGAATTCCTGGAAGCTAATAATATTCTAAACCAGTTTCAACACGGCTTTAGACGCGGTATCAGTACAATCACTCAACTTACCGAATTTAGTCATGATATTATTGAAGCCATTGACTCGGGTTATCAGGTAGATGCTATTTTTATTGACTTATCGAAAGCTTTCGATACAGTTCTCCATTCCAAACTTTTACTTAAACTTAATTTCATAATAAAAAACCCGCTGCTCGTAGGTTGGATATCTAGTTTTCTCTCGCACCGCTCGCAGTATGTATTTTTTAACTCAACGGCATCCAGTACCGCTGATGTAACTTCAGGTGTTCCGCAGGACTCAGTACTTGGACCCCTTCTTTTCTTATTATTTATTAATGACATGTCCGGTAAAATAACGTCTCAGATTAGGCTATACGCCGATGACTGCGTGATTTATCAAAAAATTACTTCTGCTGAGGATCACGAGAAACTGAACAACTCATTTTCCAATTTTCGCACTTGGTGCCAAACCTGGCAAATAAATGTAAATTTCCAAAAAACTGTGTGCATGACATTTTCTACTCGGTCATCCGCTCATCTATTTCCCTACTCATTCGATGGTTGTCATTTAACAAGAAAAATGGAATATAAGTACCTCGGCCTTCATTTCACTCACATGTCCTGGTCCAAACACATTGATATTACGTATAATAAAGCCCTAAAGAGATTAGGTTACTTACAGCGCATTCTCCGTGTAGCACCAAAAGAAACCAAGCTCTTAACATTTAAAACGTTAGTACGGCCATTACTCGAATACGGTTGTGTCGTGTGTAATCCACACAAAGCGTCCGACATTGCAAAACTAGAATCCATAAAAAAAAAGCCGTCCGTTTTATCTGCCGAAGATATGACCGGGATTTTTCGCCTACGACCAACTTAGCACCTTTGGGTTTAGCTCCTTTATCTGCCAGGCGCCATTCAGAATGCTTAAAGCTCCTGTACACCTTGATTAATTCGCCGCGCTTGTCCTCGCTCCACAGGTATCTGCAGTTTGCCACACCACCCTATGTTCACACCAGGAGTCAACATGCGCTAAATATTACGCCACTTCACCCCAAAACTGATTTGTTTAAGTATAGTTTTTTTCCCTTCACTATTGAGCTCTGGAACTTGCTACCCGGCGATACCCGCGGGCTCCCTTTGGAGCAGTTTCTGAGTGCAATATCACATGCGTAGATATTTCCATGTTCTTTTGCTTTCTGTGCTCTTGCTCTGTTCATTCTGTACCTTGTGTAGTACTATGAACCACAAATATGTGCCATATGCTCATGTTTTTGTTTCTGCTTGTTATCACCTGATCATTTGTATGTCCACTCCTGCAATAGCCCTAATAAGGGCTGCAGTATGTATAAATAAAATAAAATAATGCATACTTTCGTGCAAAAACAAGCATGTTCGTTGTGAAGTGCTGGGAAAATATTTCATTATATCTTGATGTGAAATCCGGAACGCTATGTCAGAGCGATGCACACCCTGGTGCTTGAATTTCTCACTCTTACCTCATAGTTACAGAAAACTATTGCGATAAAGGTTATGTACAAAAGAACAAAAAAAGTTTCAAATGCAAATAGTTTCATATCACTTTGTTTTATACTCGGCAAACAAGTGTTGCGAACCTCAAGAATGTAATCCATCCGAAGCAGATTCGAAGCCTGCATTTCCCATAATTCCCATGGGGGTACATGCGCTGTTGAAGGAGCCCGCAGAGACACTGGTGCCAGATTCTCCTCTAGATATTATTGTATGAAACTCTATGGTGTGTACAATGGAAGACAAATAACAGTGGTGCCACACTTGTCATTTTGATTGCAATCAGGATCAACGCGGATAGATGTCTTGATCACGATGAACAATCATTGCTGCTGCTTGGTGTAAGCTACTCTGGATAGAATTCAGCACAGATGCCAGTCAAATCGCAATCTGGGAGCCTGACCTGAATGCACAAATCGCGATCATGTTGATTATGATTGGGCCTTATCCCAAGTAAAAGTGGCTGTGTAGCAGAACCTGTTTCGGACCGAGATTAGATTAATTCGGATCGTTTTTGATCGCGATCGAAATTGGGTGTGTGCACACGTTCCAAGACGTCAAAGGAGGAATTGAATTTTGTGTGATTTTCACTCTTCAATAGGTTGGCGCTAAGGCTATTACCTTCAAGAATTGTTAACAATAGTGCAATAGAGCCCGCATAATTTGGTATTGCGTCTTAGTAGTCGGCACTGTGTTTGCCTTTAGACCACGCTACGCGTGGGTTTAATGTTGCTCAGCGATTCAGCGCTCCTCCTTGGAAGTTGTGTGTTCACATTTTTTATTGACACTATGTAAAATGTTGGCAAACAAATAAGGCACTGGCTACTCCTTAGCTTGTGGGAATGTCGAACATACAGCCTTCAGGGTCCGAAACATCTGAACATAAGAAGTCCGCAGCACATACAATCGAAGGACTTAAGTAATACCTCCTTATATAAAGTATTGAAGTCACACATCATGTACGTGAATTATCACGTGAAGACATAGCATAACAGTCAAGACAACATTGGCAGCAGTAACATTTACGTATGTGGACGTTGATGCTAAAAAAACAACAACAAACGCACAGAGTACCCTGTAAGATTGTTCGACTACAGATTCGACTCAAAGGTGAAAGCCATCTTCTCTGTACATTCAGCCGATGCATTGATCATCCTGCTCATCCACTCTTCCAAAGATTTCTGCACCTGAAATGGTCCTGCACTGCCTCCAAGGTCACGGGCACCCCACCTGACTTTGCAGTGCCTCCGTCATCGGATCACCTTTGACCATGTTACGATGTGATGTGTCGACGTCCTCATGTGAGGTTACTTCATGTAACGTCAGTGCGACGTCACGTTGACATCACATTTTGACTATCTGTAACGTCATCTCGTGATTAGAAGCTACGCTTTCACAGCGAAAGCTGTTATGAGATCACAACTCGGGTCACGCGCAGTTGTCCTCAGCCGCCACCGCCACCACTGGTGTCCGTGACGACATCGCGCGAAATTAGAAAAAAAAACTAGCACTAAAGACACAGGGGGGCTTGAAACCCAGGTCTGCTGGCTGCCAGCCCAGTATTCTACCACTGAGCTACGCCAGTGCTTGTGACTTGTTGGCAAACTTGCCTTAGGCAGGCTTGATTTCGGGAAAGCAATCGCATTATCGCGACTTATAAAGAGTTTTAAAACAGCGAAAAAACAACCATTCGTCGCACAATGCGAATAGTGTAACGAGTGGGTCGTCCAATGCTCCAACCCATTACAAAATCTTGTTATTGTTCCCCTATCAACTGTGGCGCAGACACATTTCAGGCATAATTTCTCATCGCCGTCAGTCACTGCATGAAGAATTAGCACAAAATTTTTTGCAAGTGTTTAGCGGGTACCACGCTTCTCAGAAGAATGACGAA